ATATCCGTTTAAATCGGTACTTCTCACGCTGTTTACAGCGCGACCCAAATTGCACGGGTCTTTACGACCGGCTATAAGATTTTGAATGAAAATGTCCGATTTTATGTATGGACGCTCGATATTATAGGAAGTATTTTATACATTTTACGTATACAGAAATTCCTTTATTTTCTTGGATGGAAATATTGACATTTGGGATATTTGGATCACCCAAAATGGTTTTTGATGTTCGATGTTTATGTTTTGCAATATGGGGGTTCTATGTGGGCTAAAATATCTGCTTATGTTAATAAATTAACACTACGAAAGAGGATACGAATTTGGAATCTCAAAGATAACGAAAAAGTCACGTCCACGTAATTCACTATCCTAATCCTTGGCAGTTGTCATACATCTGTTACACTCCTGTCGTGTTTCTTCTGCTCTCCGCTTCTAGCAGGATTTGTAAATGGGGACGATGCATTTCTACGAACAAGAAATTCACATTATTTTTATTTCTATTGCTGAACTCTAAAATGTACCATTTTAGATGACGTAAAATACAAAAAAGTGTCATAGAAAATTTTATTTTTTAATCGATAGCTGCTTCTTCCCAATAAAATTAAATAAAAGTAAAAAAGAAAATTATCGACAAGTCTTTAAGTCTTTTGTTTCTGATTAAACATCGGGGAATATTTTTCTAAAACATCTGAATAAAGTTTCACGTGCTTGATGGGGGTTAAAAACTGTAATCGAAACGTTGTAGAATGAACAAGTTTCAGTTTGATGTGAATGGTTCATTTAAGTAAAAAGCTTGTAAAGTCTTGAACGATATTGTGTGACTGGTCTTTAATAAGGAAGCAGGAAATATTATTTCCAGCGACAACAGTCACGACGCGATTATAAATATGGTGGGCCAGGTTGCTCCGACTATTTTTAAAGCGGCATTTCGACTTCGCCTAAGGCTTCCCGAGTGCCTGGGATCAACTATTTTTCTCTTTCATCTCCTTGTTCTCGATGTATCCGCTATTACTTTACCCTCCGTGTCCCCCGGTCGCGTTTTCCGTAATATCTTTCCGTTCCTATCCGCGGTATTATTTCTCCTCGATTGGCTGCGTGCCGTGAAAATCGACGAGCGTTTCGAAAAAGAAATCCAGCATTTTAGAATACTTTAGCTTGGACGCGGAGAAACTATTTTTGGAATTGCATAAGATATTAATCTATAATTTCGAGTTAGATTTACACTCGAACTTTTGTTTATCAGTTTATTGGTTCGTTTCGGGTTGACTTAAAATTTACCGAATCGATTTCGATTAATAGGCCATTTGTAATTGCGCTTCTACCGAACGGGGGCTGGTAATAAGCAATTATAAATGAAACTGTGTCTGGTGCTGGTGAATCGTTCGGTTGAACAATTAACGCAGCTCCGATTGGCGATCAGTGATCCATGACGAGTTCGGTGATTGGTAACCAATGATCCATAACATGAGCACAGACACCTTGTTCGGACTCCTCGACACTTATCAATATCAGTGTGTTATTTAACCCTCGAAGAAACTAATTGACTATCAAATCAAAACCGTACAATATTTTGCAAGACTAAAATTTTAATTGCAGACCTTATAAATTACTTAACTTAAAATTTGTTTCAGTACTTATTTTCGTAATCTCGCTGAAACTCTTACCCAAATTTATTTTCTGAAAACACTTAAACTCGAGAATCAATTTTTCTAGTTCCACGGTGGAAAATCCTGTGACCCATATATGGGTGACTTGACAGTAAACTGATATCAATATCACTTTCTTTTTAAATAATAATTCGCTTCGAATTCGATCAGAACATTCAACACTTGGACCAATGCATACACCGAAAATAATCACAAAAGAAATCAAGACTTGATTCTATTTCACGTAAACAGATTGTCACATTGTTCGTACAGGATTAGTTGTAGCTGTGAATTCGCGGGTCAGCTTGGCATTTAGGCGCGGCACACGCGATAATAAAACTATTCTCGCGTGCATTTCCAGGCGATATTATTTTTAAAGTAATTAAATTGCTTTGGCGACCCACGGTCTGGTCGCGTTCTATTTTCGTGGCGCTCCCGTGACGCAACCGGTAGACTTAACCCAGTGTATCTATCGCGGACCACCTGATTCCGGATTAAGAGATTATCATCTCGCGTACACGGAAACGGCGTATGTGGACCAAATGATCCGCAGATAAATTTAGCAGATTAGCCGCATTAGCCCGAATTGTTGGCCCGTAAGACATCCATTCGTGCATTGAACTCATTCCGCGGAAGCCGTGGGACTGTTCGACGAGAAAAATGATCCCAATGCTCGTACTCGATATTTCGAAACCCAACCAAAGATTCGCGAAACGTATAGTAAATATAAAGCACCATATTAGTTGCCAGCATTACTTTTATTATCGAAGAGTTGCTTGAGAAATGTAAACGAAACTTAAGGATCGCCTTGAATACGATCGAAGTTACACGCCTCGACGCAACTTAATTAAAAGTGGCAGTCGAAAGGTTTATTCATAGATCAAAAGTTTACTTACATTACTTTACTGCGGATCTTCCGTGTCCAGGAACTTTATTTTCTGTTTAGTTTCCGGGTCGGACTTCTTGAAATTTACGCTGCTTTAAAAGCGTTTTCTGCGTCGAAGATTCACTGCCGTAGTTGTATATCGAAATCGTAAGTTTCCAGGTATTTCAAAGGGAATAGAATTGTTCTATATTCAATGGTTGTTGGGTTTAAAAGAGCATGGCTCAGTTTATTATACATTAATGTTTAACTTTGTTTCTAGTGTAATTTGTACGCGTAAAACAGTGTTTGTTAAATCTACAAAATCGAATAGATCATTCTATATGTAAAAGGTATTATAAAATAATTCTTATAGAATTAATAACGTGAGCTACATTTAGAGCAGAAAGAAATAATATCTATAACTTTCAGAGCATTTTTCCATCAATTTTTAAAATAAAAATTTATTAGCCTTTTGTAAATAGAAATTAATAGTAATTTTTGGTCATCGTTGGTGTGGAATATTCTCTTGGAAGCTTTTCGAGTGTTTCTTTCTCTTTCCGACTCGAACGTTTCAAGAAGAAGCTCGCGAGGGGCGAATCAGGAAGCGTTTAAAATCCACGAGCAATAAACGCGACGCGAAGAGTTTCCCGTTTCCGTGACGCAGCTTCCGGATCCGTCTAGCTCGCGAGGTAGCAGGAGTAAATTAGGCGACGACTTTCTGGAGCCTCGTCGCAGTTCTCGTTTCTAGATTGCGCAACATAAAGGCAGCCTTTTTGCTCGGGGCTCGTTTCGTGTGCCAGGACGATCCCTTCGCGACAACGCGTCTGTGTTGAACCAACAGTGGTTACCATAAAGCTAGTTTAGTTTGTTTTTTTATTAATGGTATTACTTACGAAAGAAAGTCTTTTTATCGAGGCAGTTCCATCTTCCTATATTACAAATCAATGAATCGTTTATACATTAGTGTTCTTTAAAAAAACTGATAGATTTTGTCATGCTTTCAGTCGAGTTCATTACTTCGCTCGTAACATCTTTAATTTTGTGTTTTCCTCCACTACGATGAAAATCATTGCATTCGAGTATAATACGAGTCATATTGAGATTTACTTTATAGTTTGGAGCATTAATTTAGTGTGTCCTATTAATATTCGTGCTATTCTGACTTGGTCGTTTTTTCTTAATTTATTTAGATCAATTTTGATACGGCTGAGAGCTGACCTTTGAAATATTCCTAACTGTTGAATTATTAGTATTTATTATTATTAAAATCAACTTTAGAAATGCATTGTGTATGTATGCAATAGAGCACGATTTGAACTTCGTTCTAAGTAGAAACAGCGGATAATGAACAGACATGCCAGAGCAAAGTAGTCGAAAATTCATCATTTATATTAAATACCCGATCTTTGTTCGAAAACAATAGTTATTGCAAGTCCTTCGAGCGACATTCAATGCGCGGAATTAAGTAGAAAATCTAATTGTAAAATGTTGAATGACCCCGTAGGAATAATTAATTCTGCACGGTGGTCGCTTTAATATAATAGTACGCAGCAGTTTCCTTTGACAGGTTGACAAAGACATAAAGGAAGGTTTTGTTGTTGTTTTAGCAAGAAACACCGTGGCTTGGAACAGCCTTGAAAATTTGCAGTAAATTTTGTATTATGAATGCTCGCGCGGTATTGTACGAAAGTGGCTGTCAGGTCGCGACGATATACGGTATTTTAATATTCAAGGTTGCACGAGGGCAGAGATGAGTGACATTAAGGTGAATGTGCTACATATTAAAGGCAGTATCGCGACAGATCTCGGGAACTTTATCCGTTGGTTAACCCGGTTCCCATAGTGCTCAAAATCTCCATTATACGATCCCCATTATCCTGATCTCGCGTGACTTTGTACATTGTTATCTACATTGTCGATACCTTTTCACTAAACTAAAATGTCGTAAATCATGGTCGCCTTTACACTTTGAAACTTGTCATAAACTATCACTAGTGATTCGAGCCTGCGTCGTTTTTATAAAAATAATCAAATTTGAATTATTAAACTGTACCACCAATTTTGAGTCAGTAAGTAAATTATTGCAAATTTTTTAAATGTTTGTGAAACAATTTCTGCGCGAGAGTTCAGCAATTATAATTCGATTTTAACATTGAAATTTTCTTGTTGAAAGATCAGGTTTACAAACTATGATTAAATTACAAATTTATTTTCTCAAACTGCAAAAACGTCATTGAATTTTCTCTTACAATTAAATAATAAAATCAACAATTCTCGAAACTTTTAGCCCTTCGAGACCCGTATTCCAAATACAAAACGTTAGCGGAACGAGCTAGTGTCGCGAGAACGAATTTCGCAAGCAGAAAGACATTGTTCGGGTAGCAGTCGGGGTCCATTCTTGTCAACTCCCAACAGTACATTGTACTCGTGAATTTTAAGCGAAATCAACGCGCATTATTATGCATCTCACTTCGCTATTTGCATTGCAGCTCGACGACACGGCGCTGCAGTTGTACAAGGACGGCGACTACGGCGCTTACCTGGACCTCGAGGCCTCCATCAACGAGCAGCAAGAGGAATTCGAGGGCTTCCAGACGAAGTAAGTTCCCGCGTAAAATCTAATATCGTTAATAACCGACCGCCACCTTTCGCGGATTCCCCCGTGTCGCGTCGTTCATGTGGACGGACGCGATTTCATGGGAATTACGATCGTCGTTCGGACCACCGTAGGAAGGGGTACACCCTGGTGAGCCGGTTTTGTCGTTCACCCGGAGCAGACGTCCGGTATTTACGAGCCAGCGACTCTCGTACTTTCGATGATCGTAGAATCCAGGGTAGATTCATCGCGCGTAATTAAGTGCACTCCAAAGGAACACGGGTCACGCATTCGTACGGTCGTACACTCTTTTTGGTAATTCGTTTCCCCGTTCTGAATAAAACCGGCTGAGATCTTCCGTGGTACCAGAGCATACTAACGAGGAGACGAACGAGAACTGGACGAGCGTTTTTTTGGAGAAAACTGGAACAGATCCTAGAATACTAGCTGCTCGCGTCGTTTGTACTCGGAATAGCGGTGAACGTTCAAACGTGGCTTGATATTAACTTTGTCTTTGCTCCAAATTATAAAAAGGATGTTTCATAGATGTTTTTGCTCTGGAATGGATATTGCAGAATATGAGAAATTTTTGAAAAATTGTTCGAGATAATGGTTCGTTACTTTGCACTATTATTTGCACGTGTCTTGCTGAGTTATATGATTTTTTTCATAGAGAAATATTGAATAGTTTGAAAGAACATGGCTCGAAGTAGAAGTAATTGAAAAGCTAATTTAATTGTGATATTTTAATTTCTTTCACAGAATAATATTGAGTAGTTTGAAAGATACGAAGTAAAAGTAACTAAAAAATACCATAATTTAAAGAATAATTCAATCGTGAAATTAGTGTAGTGTCATAGTATGATATATTTGATTTTTTTCATATAAAAATATTGAGTAGTTTGGAAGATATATAGGAAAAAGTAGAAGCAATTGAAAAATGATTTCGAGAGGATTTTATTGAGAAAGTCGTGGCCCAAAGAATGGCTCAGCGTGCAATTGTGTGTTTCGTCATATTTAGTTCGTCGGCGCATACGGATGAATCGGAAACTTGGAAACGCGTCCTCCAGGAACCTTTGATCCCTCGGGGATTCGACACGCTTTGCCTGTTCCACGTTGAGACAACTGAATTATACAGGGAATCATTTCGAAGATATATGGCGAAAGTTTGGTAGCGTGTTCCAGTAAGTGTCGGGATGAAAAGGTATCATACCGAACACAGACGGAGTTCGAGTCTTGCAAACTTCCCCGTTAAGTTTAACGAATTTTCTTCCTGTTTATACTCAGCGATTTCAATTGCTAATCTTGGCTGTTCGTGGAACAATTGCATTATGGATTTCTGCGTTCAAGAATATCTTTAAGCAACTTGTTTAGGGAACACCGGTTGCTGATAGTTTATAAGCCAACGCATCTGAGGCGTTATAAGCTCTTTTCCCCCGAAACTGTTACGGGGACTTTAGATAGATTTGGCAAGTTGAAGCCCAAGAAGTCTCTCTTAACCGAAGTTTCCAACATTAATTTAAACCTTGGACATTGCTTTCGATGATAGAGACGGGGAATATTGGCTACATTTCTTCTTCGAAGTAAAGAATGCACATAAAATCAAATCACCAGAATTTCACCGCACAGAAGCTTCGAACATCTACTCGACCCTCTTTGCTGTTTCAAACACTCAATTCACGCCTACAATTGCTCGGTCCATTCGCTTGGAAAGTTCATTCACTCCGAAAATTACCCGATAGTTTGTTATTAGAAACAGGAATGAAAAGTTTTTGCGGTTTTTATGGTTCGTTGGAGCCTTTTCTACGACAAAGTTAGAGGAAAGACTTCTGTATTTTTCGCAGAACGAAAACTCTGAAATTATAGTCGCGTCACCGATAAATAACGCTACTGTGAAAGTTACACACTACAAGAATTTAAGAAATAATAATTCAATCGTAAAATCAGTAAGAAAAGAATCAACTTATAATACCGTATACAAAGCATCGTGAATAAAATTCAACAAAAATATTTGAGCAAACATTTGAAGCATCTATGAAATACCTTCTTTAGAATTTTCGAAATTTTTCGCAATTTAAATTCATCACGAAACTCAGATAAGTTGACTCTTCTCCAAAAATCGAAGGAGAATTCTCGTATCGGATTCGCGTTAAGACCGAATCATGTTCGTCGATGTCGTCGAGGTAAATCGTCGTCAGTGGCTGGGCGAGCTGCAAAGCATTACGTATCTATTCTTTTCTTTAAGTTTTCATTGATTTTCCGTTTCCATCGAGCCTACGCGTCCCGTTCACTCGCCGCACAATGGACGCTGAAAGACGCGAAAGACTCATCGCGCTTATTGTGTCTGTTCTCGCGAGGGACCGACTTCCTTCTCGGGCCGAACCGATATGAATTACTCATTGGATGAAAATTACATCCCACGGGTCCGTGTTCTCGTCGAGCGAAACTTGTGCAACTGCGTGCACAATCCGCGATTCTCTTTCGACTTGCTCGTGACTCCCAGCCAGTGAATCTCATTCACCGTGAATCGAACAAACCCACGAGTATCCTATCCGACTGTGTAATTTCATTCAACTTCGGAATAGTAAATCTATCAGAAATTCTTGAAAAAATATTATCTATTATCGAAACGTTGAATAATTAAATGTTTCTTTTCTTAAGAGTCAAGAAATTTTAAATAGAGATCCAGCGATTACATCAGCCACAATTTATGCACGATTGAATATTATTCGTGTATAGGGGGATTCCTTAATGAACTTGTGAGGATAGAAATAATTCTGTTTGCTGGAAACCTTTTCTCGCAGGTTCGTTAAGAAGTTGTACCCTATATAAGAGTAATTTTCAATCGCGAATGAATCGCTGCATCAGCTTTACTGACGAGGCTAGCAGCAACCTAGAACGAAATATCTTTTTATCGAGAGCTATCTGATCTCACAAAATCTTTTTTTGTAATTCTGTAATTTACCATTTATATTGTTGTTATTCCTAGGATATCATAGTGAGTGCATCTACCACTCGTTTTTGTTTTAATTTTAAATTAAATTATTATTTAATTAATTAACACAAATGGTTTACTATACGAAGTAATCAGAACCAAAAATACAGAATTCTTTATCATTCGTATTCGGGATACTTTGTCGTTACCTTCTAGAGCAAAGTTTTCGTACTTTCATGAAAGTTTCGAAGCTACGAAAAAGCGAAATATAGGAGGATAAAAGAAACGGGTTGTTTTGCATTTTTGTGAGCACAAAAAAAAAAGTTTCCTGAGGTTCCGTTCGCCGCACGTTCATGATGGAAACCGAGGAATACCTTCAGTGAAAGAATTTCGCCCTCGTATAAAGAATTTTCGTTTGTTTGACTTCGAAAAGTTCCCCGATAGCGCGGGCCACTTCGCCGGGATGGTTATCTGGATTTTAAAGCTTATTCCCCGGCGTTGTTGTCCACGTCAACAAACGATGTTACCCCCTTTCCTTGTTTCTCCGTGTGCAGTTCGCGTTATATTGATTTCCGTTGCGTTATTGCCTCCACGGGCGGCTGGAATCGCTCCAATTCGCGCGGACTTGTTTTAACTCGCTTCGTGCCCGCCAGGATCCGCACGGACCCGTTTGTAACTTGCTCCGACATGTTCGAGCCTCTCCAACTTGCTTATACTCGTTCAAGTATACCGTTCTAACCCGTTCCAACACGCTTTTCGATCCATTTCTACGCGCTACGACTCGCTGCAAACCCCCTTACATTGGAGGAACTTCGACTTGTTCATACAAATCATTTATACTTGTCAAAGGTTACAGTAAATGCAATACTTGTCGTATGCACGTTTGAGAAAAGAATGAGAGTTTCATAGCTTTTTCTTGAAAGAGTTACAGTGACGATTCTTAAAATGTACATTACACCGGAGTTGGCTCGTTCGTATCGTGTTTCGTGTCGTCTTTCATTGGTTTCAAGTGAGATGTTCAATTTACGAATCATGGGTTCATTTTATACTCCTTTCGTCAGAGGTTATATAATGCAACACTGGCCATATGTACGTTTGGTAAATGAATGAGAGCTTCATGATTTTTGTTACAAGAATCACAGTGATGATTCTTAAAATGAATATTTCTACGGGTTCGGCATGTTCGTTTTACGTACAGCGGAGGCGAAACTCGACGCAAATCAGAAGTTCGACTCGTATCGAACTCTTCGCTGGCTTCGAACGAAGCGTTCAATTAACGAATCACGCGTTCATTTTAAGAATCATTGCTGTAATTCGAGTGGAAGGAGCGAGAACTGTGGTTGACTGAAGAATCGAGGCGGAACTGTACCATGAACGGAGATCGACGTAAATTACATATCCGCGGAACCTTATCCCGACCTTATCGGTCGATTCAAAACGCGTCGATACGAGCCACCGGATCGCGTCGAACGACGAATACAAAATAGGATCGGGGCGACGTGCGGAACAGAAAGAATTCTTTCTCGCCGTTTGCACGGCCGCGAGAGCTGCACGAAGGGTGAGATGGGGGGTTGTTCGCGAACCCGAGAAAGGGAAGAAAATGGAGAATCGGCGGAGGTTATCGACGCGTCCGTGGAGCGTGTACAGCATCACGGTCGGTCGACAAATTTCACCTACGGAGCCAATATCGGGGCAGGAAAATCCGTGGAAGCCCGTTTCCATTTCGATGCTGGGGGACAAGTCACGAGTCGAGGGAACGTGTAGGTGGCCAACGGCGACAACGAGAAAAAAATCGGACCTGTTCGGTCGTTGTATCGCGCGCTAGCCGGCCATAGGGGTTGGTCAGAATGGGAATAGAGGCGAACGCGGTAAATGTATGACGTCGTTTTGCGGTTCGTGGAAATTCCGGCGTTTCAAATATTGGAACGAATACCCGTGGCCAAACATTTATTTAACCTCGGTTTGCCCTCGGCTGCCGCGCGCCCCCAACCCCCTTATATCTTTTGTCAATCGTGCATACTGCCTCCCACCCCCCCATCGACCCCCGGGATAAGCACGCGGAGACCAA